GCCTTTCCTCATAAGGGAGATGCTCCAATCCCTCATTCATCTTGGTTGCCCTTCGCTGGACACTCTCCAGCAGTTCCCTGTCCCTCTTGAACTGGGGAGCCCAAAACTGGACACAGTATTCCAGTTGTGGCCTCACCAGTGCTGAGTAGAGGGGGAGAATGACCTCCCTCGACCTACTAGACACACTCTTCCCTATGTATTAATGGCATTTTTTTCACACAGTGTCTGTTTCTAGCAGAGATAAGGCCGGATGTTAATAGTTAATGCCAAGGGAAGGTATAGAATCATAGAATCATTGAGGTTGGAAGGGACCTTTAAGATCATCAAGTCCAACTGTTAACCCAGCAGTGCCAAGTCCACCACTAAACCACGTCCCTCAGCACCACGTCTACCCGTCCTTTAAATACCTCCAGGGATGGTGACTCTACCACTTCCCTGGGCAGCCTGTTCCAATGCTTGACAACCCTTTTGGTGAAAAAATGTTTCCTAATACCCATTCTAAACATACCCTGGGGTGATTTGAGGCCATTTCCTCTTGTCCTATCACTTCTTACTTGGGAGAAGACACCAACTCCGACCTTGCTGCAGCCTCATTTCAGGTAGTTCTACAGAGAGATAAGGTCTCCCCTCAGCCTCCTCTTCTCCAGGCTGAACACCCCCAGTTCCCTCAGCTGCTCCTCATAAGACTCATGCTCCAGACCCCTCACCAGCTTCATTGCCCTTCTCTGGACACGCTCCAGCACCTCAATGTCTGTCTTGTCGTGACAGGCCCAAAACTGAACACAGCACTCAAGGTGGGGCCTCACCAGTGCTGAGTACAGGGGACAGTCACTTCCCTAGTCCTGCTGGCCACACTATTACTGATACAGGCCAGGATGCTGTTGGCCTTCTTGGCTACCTGGGCATACTACTGGCTCATATTCAGCTGGCTGTCCGCAAATGCCACCTGGGCCAGTATGAACAGTATGGGACATTAAAAATGTGCTCTACACCACAGCCAGGGATAATGGTCCTACCTGGAGCCTCTGGCAGAAAGTGCCAGGGGAGACTCGATGTTGACTCCTTGGATTTTGGAGTCGAGGATACAACGGCTCCGAGGCCAACTCTACTCCAACTGAGAAAGAAATATTGGCAGCATATGAAGGAGTTAGAGCTCCTTCAGAAGTGGTTGGTACCGAAGCACAGCTCCTCCTGATGCCCCAATTTCCAGTACTGGGCTGGATGTTCCTGAATCCAGTTCCCATCTGCCACTGAGTCCAGTCTGGGATTTTCCCAGTGCCTGCCAGTGATGTGATCGTCATCCTGGGAGCTCAACATTGGTTTTGTATATATTTGTATGTATTTTATTATTTTCTTATTAATATTTTTGTCTTTTGTATTTATGGTTAATATTTCATTAAAGCTGTTTTAGGGTTTTTTTTCAACCCATAAGTCTGTCTCCCTTACTTTCTCTCCCCCTTCCCTTCTGGGAAGGGAGAGGGACATTCTGTCATTCTTTTAGTGGCCAGCCCACCCTAAAGCATGACATCTGTGAATGGAGAGAAGTATTACATAAGATATTTTCTTGCATAATCTTTAGACAGGGATGCTTTTTTATTTTGCCACTTTTCTGCAACTGTTTTTTTTTCACCAGCATTTACACCTGTTGAAAAGACTTCCACTCCCGCACACCTTAGAGCCTGAACTTTGGGCTCCCTTTCTGTTGGGTATGATGAGAGGGGAAAAAAAGCCTCCTCATAAAGTGAAAGCCAAACAAATAAGGTTAAACTCCACTAAAATTTGGGAAAAACATTTGTACTCTTTTTAGGAAAGTATATATGTCTATATACAAAAATATCACCAGACAGTGTCCTTTTAAAAAAGTTAAATATATACAGACTGTTAGAATAATTACACAAACTCTAACCGTTTCAACAGCTTTTAAACATCACATTCAATTTTCATAAGCAAATTACAATGTCATTTAGCATTTCTCAATGAATTCAACTTTTTTTTGCAACAGAGTCAAATGCAATGCACTTTACTTTTCATAAAAGCTATATGCACGAAACATCTCTTAAGCAAACAGTGAACAGCTCAAGTTACATTCACTTTCTGGTAACAACTGCACTGGCTGTTTAATGCAGCACCTGCAGTATGACAAGGTAATGTTAAAGCCTCCATCCTTCCCCTACCATGGAGCACTAGCAACCGAGTTACAATCCAGTCACATAGAAATACTCTTAAGCACAAATAAAACCGTTAAGCTTGTCACAGCCCAGTTCTCTCAAATTTACAAAATGTACTCCATAAATAAAAATTTGTTTTATAAGCTCATCAGAAAAAAACCAAACACATCAAGGAAGGGCTCAATCCACTTCGTGCAGACTAGTCTAACACATTAATTCATTAGTTTGCACATTCTCTAATCCTAACTCGCACGCCTATAAGCAGAATAGTTCCCTAGCCGACGGTGAGAGTGCTCATTCTTGCTCCTCCATCAGGGCGCAGGCATCCCCCGCACCACACCGGGAAGCATGAAAGGCCTCAACAGTCCCGTCTGCTGTTGGATCTGCATCGAAAGCTTTTTGGGTAAGCTGATGTATCTATACCTTCCTGCTTGGAAGTTTGGTCTATAGCATCTCCATATGTTAGTAGATTCTAAAGAAACTGCCAGACAGCTACTTGGCAAGGATGCAGGCGATGATGATGGGTGCAGCAGACGCTGAGCGGCAGGCGACATGGCTGCACAGTGGCCCTCACCTCATTCTGCCTGCTGAATCCTGCGCAGGTGTTGCTCTTGCTTTGACCTAACAGTGCTGGTCCCAGCACACATCAGGTCTCAGCACAAGCTGTGTTAGGCCAAAACCGGACCAGGAGATGAGTGGATAGTCTCAAACCTACTGCTACATCAACAGGGTTTCAGGCATGAATGTAAAACCTCTCATTTTTGCATATATGCATCTGTCAGAATCATAACAAAAATAAAACAATATATTTCAATCACAATGCATGTGCAAACATGCCCTGAAAAAATAGAAAGAAAAATGGTAGCTTTGGCTAAAACTATTAGCTTACATACTTTTTATAAAAATAGGAATAAAGTAGGCAAAAATAAGGAGAATTTTTGCAGCTCATCTGTGTCAATTTGCCAGCTCTTTACTAATGCTTACTGCTTTTGCTTGTATCAACACTTTCACAAGCCATTTGGGTTTTCAGCAGGGAATAGACTGCACAAAATGCAGTCCCTAAGAAGTGACTCTCGAATTTGTAATGCGAAGTGCTATGCTCGCAAGAGATCTCATGGCACACGTAGAAACCTTGTGACAAACTCCAGCTTGCGCAATGTAGTTGGAAGCTAACCGATACAGCCTTTCTGCCCCAAACATGTTAAAGTGCCCAGGCAGTACCTTCTCCACGAGACCTCTGTCCACTAACTCCATGAGGCGCTGGCAGCTTGCAACGTAGTCACTTACTCTGCTGTAGGGAAGCCAGTCAATCATGGATCCATCGTACACCACATCTCCGCTGAACAAAATCTTCCGGTCTTTGTCGTGTAAGCAAATACTGCCTCTTGAGTGACCAGGCATGTGCATCACAGTAAGCTGTCGGTCTCCAAGGCTGATCACATCCCCTGCAAACAAATGCATTACAGGAAAATATACACATTTATCTTTTCTATTAAAAAACACAAAAAGAGTATGACCTACCCATACACTGAGAATTTGTATGTACTATATATCCACCACAATGGAACATTTATTTTCTTCCTGACTGCCAAAGAGGCATCTGAAAGATACACCTGACATTAGTGTATTTTGCAATGTTAGTAACATTTAACACAGGCTTGAGCTGTATTAATTGCATCTATTCCCACCCTAATAAACTAACGAATGTGAAAAGAAATGTGATAGAGAAGATGAAACAGGAAACAAACAGAACATGTATCAATTGGGTCTCCCGCAAAGTGAGTATTTCACAATTTATTATAATTTTACTCT